GAATTCATTAAAAAATTGCTTCTACCTTTAAAACAAAGTATGTTAATTAATATATAAACTACATTATATATACCTTGTGGTAAACAAACAGAAAGTCACGGGACAAAAAAAGTCACAGATCAAAAAGTCACAAAATTGCTAGAACAATCAATGACAATTAATTGAATTGCAATTGTTAGAATACATGCATTTGAAGGACATACTTAGTAGTTTATATGTGCATTGTTTCAGAAATATCAATTTGACGATGATCCATACATTTCAAGTTGTCCTTGAACATTCATGATGTATCAGTTCGACCTCTCCAATATTAATTGTTTGTTTGTCTACTCCATTGTTTCGATGTTGTTCTCTATGAGATGAGAGGATTTTACGTTTTCATCTTGTCCAGAAATTTTGAATGATCTGACTATGAATTTGACATAGTTGATTGGCTGATGAGTGTGTAAAGTTTTTTTTTATCTAAGATGTTTTCATCTATAGTTCCTGTGTATGGTAAAGTCGAACTTGTTTATATTGAATGTTATAAAACATTTGTAATTTTCGTCGTATCGTCCTGTCAGCTTAAGTTTCACACCCAACTTAATCATACAGACTTTCAGTTCGTGTAAATATAGGCAAACCAGTAACTATTCTAGCAGTTTCTAGCTGCAAGCATAATATTCCAGTTCATAAGCATTTCCTGTCCAACAATTATTCCAAACATCAGTTGTATATTCAAAAGACGGTCTTATGAATACTAGATAGGGTTTTTCCATTTCGGTCGGTACTTGTGTTTTCTCAGTACATCTAAATGTTTGGCAAATATAAAAAGAAGATGTGGTATGATTGCCAATGAGACAACTCTCCACAGGAGACCAAATGACACAGAAATTAACAACTTTAGGTCACCGTTCGGACTTCAACAATGAGCAAAGTCCATACCGCATAGTCAGCTTTAAAAGGCCCTGAAATGATAAATGTAAACAATTCAAACGAGAAAACTAACGGCCTTATTTATGTACAAAATAATGAACGAAAAACAAACAAAACAAACACTGGTTATTAAAATGTCTATATGACTATTCCATCGAGCATCAGAGCAAAACGTTTGCAAGGTGTTTGTGGCATTTTGTAACAAAGATTTTTTATCATTCCATCAGAATTTAAGATGTGATGCGTCATTATTTGAAAAAAAAATATCATTATTTCTGTTTTGTCTCAATTAAAAAAAAAACATGAGCCACCTTCTTTATCACACGATTAACAACAGTTTTTATATGTCCTTGGCGTGCCCCGAGTAATTAAACGAAGTGTCATAAATAACAAAAACAACTACTCAATAGTTTTAACATACACTGAATAGATCGAATTGTCTGAACAGGACATACTTTACGGCATTGGATAAGTCTGACAATTTGAAGATTGACTGAAAATTACGTAAGCATTTATTATTGAGGTCTTTAAGAGCTGGGCACATCAAAATTATCCTTTCAGATCAAAATTAGTTAACTATGTTTGTAAATAGAAATAAGAAGTTGTGGTATGAGTGCCAATGAGACAACTCTCCATCAAAAGTCACAATGAGTAAAATGTAAACAATTATAGGTCACAGTACGGCCTTCAACACGAAGCCTTGGCTCACACCGAACAACAAACTATAGAGAGCCCCAAAATGACTAGTGTACAACAATTCAAACAGGAAAACCAACGGTCTAATCTATACAAAAAACGAGAAACGAGAAACACTTATGGACCAAATCAACAAACGACAATCACTGAACAACAGGCTTCTGACTTAAGACAGGTGCATACAAATGCAGCGGGTTTAAACGTTTTAACAGGCGCCAACCTCCACCCTAACTTGAAACAGTAGTGTAACATTACAACGTAAAAATACACACTATAAAATATCAATTGAAATGGCTTAACTTGATCAAAAAGACATATAAAAAAAACCAATTAAACATTCACTGAACGAATAAATTTGACCTATGACACAATATAAATACAAAATTAATAAAAGAAAAGATGTAAAACTATGTCAAAAAAAAAATCTTACCTGGGACAACATGGCGTTAAATAAAATAACGTACACAGGTAAATTTAAATATAATAATTTTGTTGTTAGGAGAACGGAAATATTTTTTTACAAAATAAATAAGTTTGTTGTTCACAGTACGAGTACAGAAGTGAAAATGAATCGTCATACTAAATACTTGTCAAAGGTGGTACATATTAAAAATAGTGAGACAAAATAAGAAAAACATTGAATAACAAAAATGCATTACAAAATGTGTTAACAGGTCAAATTAACACGAAAGTACGATTTGAGAGTACTCGCAGTTACTGAAAGGTAGTTAAAAGATAAAAACAAATAATAATAAAACAAATCATGCATCAGAGACTAAAATCAATTAAAACACATCCCAGAGATTTAATGTTTTAACACCATGGACAGTCAAAGAAGACATGACGTGTGCAATTGGTTGATTTTCCTGTTTGAATTGTTTTACACTAATAATTTTGGGGCCCTTTATAGCTTTCTGTTCTTTGTGAGCCAAGGTTCCGTGTTGAAGGCCGTACTTTGACCTATAATTGTTTACTTTTTACACATTGTGACTTAAATGGAGAGTTGCCTCACTGGCACTCATACCACAACTTCTTATTTCTATCTATGACTTGTTTAAAAGCCAAAATAAAAGTATCGACAGGCAGTAGGATTTAACCTTATAATAATTATGTATCATGTTATTTATAGATAAAGCAATCTCTAAATAGAAAATACACGTGGATGTGAATTTATACATACTAAAAAACATTCGAAAAGAATACGAATTTAGTTATATTTTAATTTGTTGATGACAAAATCGATGTTAGTGCCAATGTAAACAATATTCAAAGATCTTATTACAACATTAATAAGATAACCTTTACTAACAAGTTTGTTTAAAGGTTCGATGAGTTTACACGGAATACATAGTGATTTCCGCGCTTTTAGTACAATATTACCGTAAAATTTAGGATGTGAATACCGTTTTTAATAAGTTTTCTACATGTACAGCCAAATACACTATAGTACTTACTTGAAATTCCCCGTTCATTATGACATAAACGGTTTCAATGTTAATGCACCAGCTGCGTATTTCGACAATTAATGTCCCTTCAGTGATGCTCGAGACCAAAATATTTGAATATCCAAAATCTGATAAAAGTGTTGAAGAGTGGATCAAACCATAAAATACATAAAGTTTAGCCGAATCCGGACAACAAATCAGAGCTGTGCATAATGGTGGTATATTCCTTAATTTAAAATAGTTATCATAAATTTATAAAAGGATAAGAAACTAAGATTCAACTTCAATCGAGGCAATTTGGAACCTAGATGAATGATGGTATTAGGTCCACTTTGGAATATAGGCCCTATTGTTGCAGCGTATTTAAGCATCCATGGCTTTTAAATGTGCGAGTTTGATCGTTTCCGATTAAGGTAAAATCAGAGTGGCGCTTCTGGGGCACGAAATTTATAAAGTTTTATTTCATTTTCAGATATTTATACATCATCGGCTTTCAAATTTTTAGGTTGGAATGTTTCTCATATTGTTGAATCCAGAAAAGTGCGCTCGACGCACGAAATTTATTAAGTGTCTTTTTGCTAATGTATGAATGTTGACAGAGAACCCTTGATATCTTAGATACGTAATGGTTTACGTTTTCTATTTCAAGAATAATTTTTCTGTAAAAAGTACTTTCATCCCTTGACGTATGCATCATCTAATTCACCTCTAAATTATAATGTCGCTTCAGTGATTTCTTTTTTGAATGAAATTCTCTTAAACTTACCAACTAGTCTGCAAGAGATATTATTCACTCATACGTGCCATTATTTATAAAATTACATGGTAACGTTTATTGTAAAATATGATCTACTATGATTTAAATTTTGCATGTTTTAAATAAAGTGTTTCCACTTGGATAGCACTAGTGAAAGAAACACAAATAAAACGCTAACCAACCAGTAAAATTCGTCAGAACTGAACTAATTGTCACATTAATCATTGTCAAATAAAGAGCTCAAATAAAAAAGGAATAACGTAAGAGGAATAATTGTATTTTCAAATGTTTCATTTTTATAATTGAGGAATGTTAGTTGTAAGGTTCATTGCATATGTTATCTGCAGTACTGTGTAGAAATTGTCATGATCGACGAAATGTTATATTCATCTGGAAAACTAAACTAAATATTGCTGAAAACGTTTGAGGAACAATCAGGAAGCTGTCAGTTTTAAAATCATTAAGCTTGTAGTCATGCTTGATTTCCTTTCTTTCTGAATGCCAACTAAACTTATTACAGTGACTACAAATTAGCACTTTGATTTTTCAAAAGAATACCTCTGAAAATTAAGCAAAAAACCAATGGGACAATAAAAACATTATAGTCAAAGAAAACAACCAGACGAACAACAGTTGATCAGCAATCATAGAAAACAGTTGAGCTGCACTAACATAAAACATGACTTTAGCTGACTGTCCCAGGTTGGTTAACTATTCCTGTCCAACATATTACTCTGTTCGTCTTGCTTATTTCAGGTATACATCCTTTAATTCGGAGATTTAACTGATTTATATTTTTTTTGTTTTATAAGATAGTACTGAAGTATCAGTTAAAAAATTGATATTATTAAATTTGTTGGTAAGAGAAATGTGTGTTATGTCTAGACTGGAAAGAGTTGCGCCCGATGCTTCATGTAGAAAAACTAGTATTGGTGTCACTTTTCTAAAAAGGATATCTGCATACAGAATCAAAATAATTGTTTGGATTGATTTTTCAAGTTGCAGTTATATCCCATCTTTTAGGTATATCAACTATGAACAAAGGCAATACATTGTATTGAAGGAGTCAGAGTTCTATTTAGGTTCAAATATTTGCGCTTGATCAAATTGATTTGTATTGCTATTACTTTTCGGGATCACTTGTATTACAGATTAAAAAAATAAATACAATTAAGCATCATCAGGTACAGTAAGTTTTAATATTACACAAACGCTTTTAATTTCATATTTGACATTATCAAATTTATATGATTAATCATAAAATGGAACAGAACTTCCGATTAGATTCTCTTGCCTTCTCTTCCAAAGCCTTTTCTAATTTAGCTACTTGATTTTCTGATATTTGTTTTTGCTGTAGTAATAAGAAGTATTCATGGGAATAATAACCGTCCATAGTTAATACTTCTTCAGCGACTTCCTGTGCATATCTCTGCTTATCACGCACCGATGATAAATTTTCTACCGCAACAATACGTCTCCCACATTGTGTATACAATTCTTTAACATCTTCTGCAGCCATTGTGTCAATGAATTCATGAATATCTATTTCATCGCCATCTTCATCTCTGATTTCATTTTTTCTAACCATTACTATTAGTGTGTGATTTAGAAACTTGTTGTCTCCAAATAACGTAGTGAGTTCCGATACAACACGCTTTTCCTCTTCTGTTGCTCTGTTCGGCTGAAGAACAATTATAAACGCATGAGGCCCAGGCGATAAAAATCCAATACATTTAGAAACCTCTTTTTTGACATCTCGCTTCATAGTATCAAATATTCCAGGCGTATCAACAACTCTTATTTTCTGTCCTGTTGGAAGATCGCCTCTACCTTCTTCGCACTCAGTTGTCACTGACTCACCAGCTGGAAGTGACTTAAATCGATTAAAACCCAAAAGTGTGTTCCCAAGAGCACTTTTCCCACATCCTGTTTTTCCAATAAGAGCAACTCGAATTCTGAAAGAAATTTAATTGTACTAGATTATTTTATCTAGCTAGGTTTAGCTAGCCATAAAATCAGGTTCAACCCACCATTTTTTCTTAAAATGTCCTGTACCAAGTCAGGAATATGGCAGTTGTTATCAAATAGTCCGTTTCTATGTATGTTGGTGTTTGTTTTTGTAGCAGTTCAGTGTTTCTGTTGTTCCGTTGTTTTCTTCTTATAGTTGATGTGTTTCCCTCGGTTTTGGTTTGTGACCTGGATTTGTTTCAGTTAAATCGATTTATGACTATTGAACAGCGGTATACTACTGTTGCCTTTATTTTTCGCAGTTTATGTTTTTTTTTCGGTGGGGAGTCCATATTGTTAAGTAAATTAAGTAGAGGGTAATATGCACTGTAAACTAACTTATCTGTATATGTAATTTCTATGTAAAACTAGAGTTAGTGTTAAGCAGCATAAAGATATGCATTTATCATTGGCCAAACCGACAATTAAGCAGCAATATTTGACAATATTTTTGAAGTTATTCAAACAACACCAACAACAAGAATACTTACACTTATAATAATACTAAAACTATTAATAATGATAGTAATGACATTATTTTAATAATTATAAAATTGCTATAGTAACCATTTTATGTTTTCTTATTTAGTATTTTTTTAAACTGGAATGGAGTTATATTTAGATTAACATGGACATGCACCATCAAACTTCATTGATTTAATAACTGTTATGGTTGTTTAAGGTGTCAATTATTTTTGATTATCTAGAGGTCATACTAAAATATTCTGTGATTGAATTATCTTATATACTGATAAAATGCATGCTTAAACTTACGTTCCTTGACCTCTTCTTGCTTCCATGTTTAAAAACGCAACTTATTTGAATGCACAGTCGTCTTATATATGTCACCGTTTACGTCACGTGCAGAATGTATTACAGTTTTAGTGAATAAATCAAACTTTATAAACGAATGAAAAAGCTCGTTACATTTTATACAGCTATATAAAGTTAAATGCACGCTAACAACAGGATAAGTCATGTGATGCACACCAAACGTTGTTAAATTAAAATTTTGCAGACATCAATACAAAATCCAAGGATAATGGCATCTAAATCAAGGTATAGAAAATGCATACTTTTATAAACAACTATTTTCTTATCATATAATATAAATACATAAAAATGAGGTAATCGAAAATTGTATTCTGCTAAGACTAAGCTTTATGGTATTTACCTTTAATACTTTCAGGTATATAAAAATATATATTCTTTTTTTTTTTCATTTGCATTGTCGTGTTTCATCATAGTAAATTAAACTATATTATCGATCCATTATTATTTAAGAGGTTCAAAATTGTTTCAGATATAGTTTTTTCGCTTTATTTGTATTGTAATGACAAGGTATCAAGTCACATTCGGATGACATTCGGATGATTCTAATGTGTTCATACCTATCAAGATACTTATAAATTTCACTGGAATAAAGAGTTTATACTTCATTTTAAGTTAATTTTCAAGCATCCTATTTCACGTGGTCTACCTGCTTTTACTTGTTCTTGGCTCATTGTTGAAGGCATTGCGATGACCTTTAATTGTTCATATATTTGTTATTTAATCTTCATGGATAGTTGACTCATTGGCTATTATACTACATCACCTCATTTGTATATCTAAAACTACTTAAATGGTGTTGATAAGTCTTTAGTTTTCTATGTTGTGTTTTGTGTACTATTGTTTGTCTGTTCGTCTTTTTCTTTTTTAGCCATTACGTTGTCAGTTTGTTTTCGATTTATGATTTTGAATGTTCCTCTGGTATCTTTCGCCTCCCTTTTGTAAACAAATTTTGACCGTGATCAATCGTTAACTCTAGTGATGTGGTCATAAATGAATGGGAAGATAGACAGAATAATCTGTTTCTCAATTCATAACGGTCGTCATTGAAAGAAATTGGTCTATTTTAGCAAAAGTTATAAATACATTGTAGTTTCAGATACCTTTTGGTCTTCGTGTCAATGTTGAATTATTATATATATATCATAAACAGACCTCATAAACGTTTGGGTTTTACCTTATTTGTCATTACGGCCCATAAATCTCTCCAATTTCATAAAGAGCTATTGTCTATCAGATAGTACCAACTTTACATGACGGTATTGCCGAAGATTCAATGTTTCGGGTAGTAATGATAAAAAACATGAATGTGTTGACCTCATTATGTTTATAATTTTGGCTCTATTCCCGGAACCTTTGTCTAATTGAAATAATGAGTGGGATTCAAAAAGATATTTCATCAGATTTATTATTTGTCAAATGATTGCACAATGAAAACAGCAGACGGGATTTTAGATTTTTCGTTTTATTCAGCTTGACATTTTTAGATGTTACTGGTTTGAAGGGTGAAGATGTTTGTTAAATGGTATTATTTTTTTTCAATTCTTGTTTAAGTTGCATAATTATCTTATGGTAATTTCCAAAGTTCTATGATAAAATTACTATCAAAAAACAAATTCTCACTAGAAATTTGTAAGTCATATATGTGAAACCCTGCAACATATCCCTAATAAAGAACAACGTATTCAACTATTACTTATGTATTTAATTTTTTTATGTGATAGTAATTATGTTTCGTTAGCAGATATGATACATTCAGCATAGTTTTGATTGGAACCAAAGGCAGTGGTAAAAGCTCAACAGGAAATTGTATTTATGGAGAAAACAAATTTCAAGTTTTCGTTGGAACAAAAAATGGTACGGGGCGCATCGAAAGTGCCAGAAAAGGATATCGTGATACAGATATCGTTGTCGTTGACACGCCTGGAGTGCGTGATAATAGCAACTTAAGAGAAATTATGCTATATTTGCAGGATTCAGAAAACGTGGTGTTTGCAATCGTGATTGCAATAGGTAGATATACAACATTAGATAAAAAGCTGCTTATCGATATAAGTAAAGAGTACAAAGACATTTTGAAAAAATCAATTATTATTTTCACCAGAAGAAACGAGCTTGACACGTTTGAAATTCCAGAAAATAGGACAATTGATAATTGGCTGAAAACTGTCCCTACGTTATCAACTTTCATTGATAAATTTAAACTTCAATTTCGCGTTTTTGAAAATGTGGATGTAGACTCGAGATCAAAAGCCGCACAAGTGAAGGATGTCATAGAACTTTGCAGGGAAATTGTTCAAGATCCAGTATCTTCTGAAAGGGAAACCGGGTTCGAAAGAACCATACAAGTTAGTTTCAACGATATTCAAGAACGGTTTGGAAGTTCAGGGGTTGAATATTTCGAAAAAAAGTATAAATGCCAAAGAAAAATGTGAAGACTATACATAAACGATTAACAGATGGCTTTTGCAAAGAGGAAGTCTTTGAGATAGAAATGTGGTTTTCATTGTTAAATACTGACTTTCCTAAATTAAAATTCTATATATAAAATTCACTTACAATTATGTTTCAGTTACCAAAGAAATTGTTTTATGCGGATAACTGTCGCATTCATATAAGCAAATACAATAAAATACTCAGAGGAAGCATAAAAACATCGAACAGTACAACAGACTACACTTAGTCTGTAGAAAGAAGTAGAATTTTTCAATTTGAAAAAAAAAATATCACAAATTTGTTGTTAATATCTTGCGATTCGACGTAAAAATCTAGAAATCAAAATACGCGTCAAACACGTATACAGAGGAAAAGTTAAACCATGTATTCGTCCAGAACAAATTTTGTCGGGATTTGTAATCTTGGTTTTCCATGGAAACACAAATTTTGGTTTGCATTGGTAGGAACAATATTTCAAAATCTAATTACATAATCATCAAAGCAATTGAAATCAGAATAGTACAAACATTTTGTTTAGGCTTAAATTTCATTATTGGTTACACCATTGTTTCCACTTTACATTGCATGTCAGGGCAATTGGCAAATTTGGAACAGTTCTGATACTGTAATACTTTTTTTACGTTTGCCACTATTTACATACACTGTATTGTGGTTTTTACAAGATTTCAATAAGATATTTGGCGTATGATATAGAACAGTTATTGTTTGTAAGAATAATCTCTGCAAACATGTTCTACGGTATGTTGGTTTTTGGTGAAACGTATACACCGTACACCGTAACTATGTGGTCAAATTCAAAGTCAAGGCCATGTTCTAAATGTTGACCAGTCGAAATAGTAGGTCATTTGGTTCAAACTAATCAAATGACATTTTGTAGGAGTTGATAAAAATTTATGAAAAATGAAAGTTATATTGTAAATTCTGCATACTGGGTTTTGTATTGCAAAGTTTAAAGTAAAGTACATAAAAAACTCCTTATACCAATATATAACAGTGCCAATTGTACACGCAAAACCGACATTTGAAACGGGAATGCATCATAACACAGTATGTTTGTTTTTATCATTTTTAAATCAAATTGTATTAAGGCATACCATAAGGAGAGTTTGATCAGATCATTTTGTTTCCATCCGCACTTTTTTAAATTTAAGGTTTATTTCTTATTTCTTCATCGTGGAAAATAATAATGGCATGATGTCTTTTGCAAAGAGATGGGTGATATATGACCTTCAAATCTTGAAGTGGTATAACTTATACTGGAAAAATTTTTTCAGGTGTACAGCCATCTTTCTGAAGCAAATTGTCTCCTTTATTTCATAGAAAAAGACATAAAACATATCTTTTTGGAGTCAGGTTGAAAAAAGCTTTCATGTGAAATTGGAAGTAGCATTTTCTAAACTTACATGTAAGTTACAAATTATCTCCCTTATTTCAAAAAAAAGTATGTAGAATGCATATATTTTTTCGCACAAAGTGACATCGAGTAAAACGGAAGTCGCTTCTTGTAAATTAATGAACATCCAATGATGGAAAGACCTTCAGAGACATTAAATGCTTTTTGATAAAAAAATTTCCGACACTTTTATGTCTTGCAGGGCTCTTTTGTTTTGTTGGATGTTGATAAGATATTTGGTATATGATAATTCTCAGTTCATACGCTTTAAAAGCTGAAACCGTATAACTGAACGCTTTTCTTTTCAGGAGTTATATTCCCGAACACTCTTTTTCTTTTTTCTTCAGATCACTAATCTGTCGGAACCGATATCGATACCGACACAAGTTGCAACATTACTTGGTACATCAACCTCATGATGTCACGAATAATTTGACAGAAGCAATCTGGAGCCTCGATATCAGAGTTTCTTCTCTTTATGTATTCAACATAATAGTAACGTAATTGTTACTAATAAACCGTAAATGATAGAGACCTTGGGTCTTTTTATTTCAGGTCCTTGGTACATACAAAAGAACATAACGCCAAGGTCACAGTTCAAGATCATGCTTGACCTTGGATTGTTATTGGTACGATATATTAACCGTATACTATATTGACAAACAGTTTTTACTTAATTTTAAGTCGCAAAATGTCGAAACTAAAACATTTTGATTGAAAAGGTATGTTGACTCAACTAGAAGTTTTATCTCCTGGAATGTTTAGAATAAGCTGTATGGTGATATAACTTATCAACCTTCCATAGTACAGACATACGGTTTTTTGAAGTAAGGTTCTGACGTGATGGCCTTGAAATTGAGGTCAATGTCAAAGTTAGGTCAATATGACATTCTAGTTTTTAGCTTCTATTTAACTTTAAACTGGTACCTGATAAAGCCATGGGATAATCATGATTACGAAATGATAAATAAAATATATACGAAACGACCTTGAAAAATGTAAAACGAAGTGACCTTTTCTAAACAAGATGTAGCATTGTTTTGCACTAATTTCATGGAAAAGTATCCAGAATCATATTTTTGTAAAAATATTGTAAAGTAACCCATCAAGTTAAAACGGGGAAATTGCATTTTTAAACTGTATAAAACAAATTATCTTCCTAATTTGAACGAAAAAGTAGATCCATACATTTGTTTTTTGGAATAAGCGCAAAGTAAGCTATTATCTATACTTAGGAATCGACTTTGAATACACCGCAAGTACCATTCACTATGTTTTTGTTTAATCAGTATTAAACAGGAAGTGTTTATTTACAGGCAGTTATTATTTTTGATCAAAGGTGAATTTGAGAAATATGAAAAGACAATCAATTGATATTAGAAAATTTGTATTTCAGTTTTTTTTTTTCAGACACTTTGGTCAAGTTCAAGTAAGGCCATTCGTAGAAATTGAAGTCAGAGTCTAAGGGCAAGGTCATGTTCTAAATGTTGACCATATCGTGTTATAGAGATTTCCAATAAAATGACATACGTACGTAACTCGACCTACGAACCTAATGGGACTGGTTTATACAAACCATTGAATATGATTAAATACGTTGCTTAAGTTCAAACAAAGTATTCCAAGACTTTTAAAATTGCACACTGGAATTTTCGTCCATATAAAATAATTTTATAATGACAAAATTGATAGAAATCTAGCATTTTTATTTATCACGTGGTTTTCTAGATTCCCGCCCTAATTTTCACTGACATAAGATCACGTATAAACACACGTATCCCATACCTATCATACGTACGATTTGAGATATCTCTCATGGTTTTGAATATGACAATTATTTCACAATATACTTTGCAGGTGAAAGCCCTATTATACTTTTTTTCTGTCTTTCTTTATAGTTTATCTTCTTTTTATTATATTTGTCTTGGGAAAATATTTATAAGGATATTTTTCTGACAATTTCATAAATATCGAAACAAAAGTTTGTCAGAATCTGTCTCTCTATGAAAGTTGAAAATTGAGATAAAACAATCGCTTCCGTTTAATTTGTAATCAGAAGTATTTTTCATTTATTATAAAATGTATTGATAAAAAAATCCCTATATATGCTGTTTTTTAAAATTAAGGTGTGTTCGATTAGGGATTATTCTGTACTACTTTGTTTAATGGGAATGCTATCGGAGTCCAAATACATTTTTTTATGTATCCCTTGAAGTAAATTAACTAATAGTATTTTATTCATTTTATTGTTAAACAATTAAAAGGGGGGTCACCGAATTCATTGTACTGAATTAATCATTAACGGAAATATGTAAGGTAAGTAACATTGAACAACATAATATAATAATATATCGTTGCCAGATGCTGATCCAGGATTTTGAAAGGGGAAGGGGTATAGGCCACGTTAGAAGTGGAACAAAAAATAGAAGTATTAATAGGATGTAGTGCCATATATATAAGATTCGTTGCATATGTATTTTATATATCCATATTTAGGACGAGAAGATTAATATGAACCAGACTTTGTATTATACATGTACAGGAAGACATGTCATCCTAACCGGACACATAATTTTGACCCCGGACCAAACAATCCTTTCTCTAACTCCTAAATATTGCGTGCTTGGCAGATATGCAGCCAATCTTCGATTTGAAACGGGCGGGGGACTTCCCGCACTCGAGCAGTGATGAAGCTTTGATTGACGCAATGAGGCAACCGCCTCACCAAATTTTTGACCATATTTACTCGCAAAAACTGATTCAAAACAAGAGGTCATAACTGTGAAACTGATATGATGCTTCATTTTTTTTTTTTGGAAAATGAACTTGTTACTTTTGGTGGACAAAGTTCACTTGGCATTCCTACATTTGATGTAGTACTCTTCTAACTTGGAATATATCAGCAAGACTTCATAGTTCACCCAATTATTATCATCCATACATTTTGACAAAATATAAACGTATAAAGTTAAAAGACATAGTGGATCTTAAACTTAATATCCCCAAATCTGTACAAAAAAAGTAAAATCACAAAAATACTGAACTCCGAGGAAAATTCAATCGGAAAGTCCCTAATCACATGGCAAAATCAAATGACAAAACACATCAAACGAATGGACAACAACTGTCATATTCCTGACTTGGTACAGGCATTTTCAAATGTAGAAAATGGTGGATTGAACCTGGTTTTAAAGCATTATAGAGGAGGCCATACATTAATTCTTTCAATTATTTTTGTTTTGATCAGGACCTGAATACTGAGAATAAATCCTTTAAACAGCAGTTTTGTTGAAATTTATGGATTTAATGCGCACTAGAAATGTTATTTTAGGATGATATTGCACTTATCTGGATTTTTCATAGACAGGATCATTTTGTCAGTGTGTGACCTATCAAGAGTATGATCACATACACCTTTTTTCCGATTCGTATTTTCAATTAACCGTCCACTCACTATTGGCATTGACGTCTTTTAACCAAGCGATGTTTGACTGTCAAGATTCAGATCATTTGCCTCGCCAGAAATAAAATTCAAGTTACGATACTGTCAATTGATTGATAATTGGTTGCTTAACGTCCAGTGGCAAATACTTCATGCATAATTAACGTGCAGAGAGCTTGGTATTCTCTCTACAAGATGCATCTGATTAAACGTCCCCACTCTGACCGGACGGGACTGCGTACTTGTACATCCTGCACAAT